GGGCACTATATTTGCCCTTTTCCAGTCTTCTGGAATCTCTCCCGTCTCCCATGATTTTCCAAAGATAACAGCTAGAGGCTCATGAACCAGTTTCATGAAAACCAGTTTCACTGATGTGTCAGTTCTGTGTTTGTTCCTTACCAAGCTGTTCCCCTTTTTTGCATGTACTACCCTGTAAACTAACCCTCCCCCAACCACAATTTGCACAGTGAATAAAGAGCCTCTTGTCCTCAATCCATGCATTTTTATTATGCTCACAAACACTGAACAGAGACAGTGATGAATAGCAAAGATAACCCGGGTCTAAGGGCCTGATAACACAAGGCGGGAGGGGCAAGGACATGTAGCTTATTACAACTGCACTGTCTAGCAGTTGTGGGAATGAGAGCCTTCTGCTCCATGAACCATTCCCTGGAGTTGAGTTCAAGGGATAATGGAGCTCTCCCCCCGCATTCTAGGACGTCTGGGAGAGGAGGATGTGGAACTTGGTGAGGAGGGCAGCTGGTTCATCTTTGGGTGCAGTAGGACTCTAAGGTCTAGCTGCTTGCTCCCCCATAAGCCGCACCATCTCCTCTTGCGTGTTACGCCCTTGTCCCCTGCATGCTTTCCGGCCCTCGTGGTCGGTGCGCATGCTCTCCACAGTATAAGCCTCCATGCATTTAGCTGGGCCCTGTCAGCCTCGGAGGAACGCATCAAATCGCAGAACATGTCTTCCCTTGTCCGCTTTTTTCACCTTCTAAGCTGGGACAGCCTTTGTGCTGGTATGGAGGGAGCACCCGCAGACAAGGTTGCTGCTGCAAGGAAAAAGAAATCACAAGGGTAGCCTTACAGAACATACATTGCTGAAAACAGAAGGTTAACGCTTGCAATGAATGAAACACTTCACAGCAGTAACTACGTTCCTGGAGGTACACGGCCACATTTTGTCTTCTAAAAGAGCGCCTACCGGTAAGGTACAACGCACGGCAGAGCACTGGGCAGCAGAGTTTGGTTTGCAGGCAGGCATGGTAAGCACACAAGAAAGGGTAGGAGGTGGCAGGG